AGCCATCTCTCTCCAGCCCACATAGTGTGTGTGTGTGTGTGTTTACTCTCCAAACTTGTATTTTATTGATCTAGTTGAACTTTGCAACACTGTCATAAAACAACTATAAACAGAGCCTTTGGATAAAGAGGTGGGGGAGGGAGGAAATTTAAATATAGTTACTATGTTAAATAAATATGTATTAAATATAGTTACTGTAATGGGTCTGTCTTTATGGGGGACTTGGTCTTCTCTCTTGCAACTTCCAATAACTTGTTTAGTCTGTGTCTTTGGTGTTGTGACTTTGATATGCCAGAGAGAGTTTCTTTTCTGGTCCTCTAAATTTAATGTTCTGCAGGCTTCTTGTTCTTAGCCGGATTACTTTCTCTGTAGATTTCAGAGACATTCTTGTGAAATTGAATTTAAAATATTATTCATTCCTTTGTCCTGGAGTTCTTCTCTTTCATCTCTGTCAATAATTTGCAGGTTTGGCCTTTTAATGCTGTCCTAACATTCCTGCATATTCCTTTTCTGTGAGTTTTAAAATAGGAATTTCCTATGCTTTACCTAAAAGTACTTCTAACGTTGATGTCTGCAAGGCAAACTTGAGTTAGGAAAATGGCAAGACAGCCCTCTCCTGGCAACTGATGGACGCTGCAGGAAGAATTCAGGCCCTGGTTAGTCAGCAATGGGCTTCCTGTCACACTTCCTGACACTTCCTGGGACACCCATTTCCTGGTAAAACTTGGGCCCTAGTGAGCAAGGGCAGAGCAGAGGCTGAGATGTGCCATTTTCCGGCAGGATCATCGGAACACGTGGGTCCTGAAAATTCTGCACAGACCTAGGTAGCATTTCTTGGGTACAGTGTGGTGCTGAACACGTGGAGGGCGAATCCTGCCGATCTCAGCTGGATGCCAACATTCACCCCAGCCACAGGAACCACGGGGAGTGGTTGGTACATGCTGAAATTCTCAGAGGAGAAAAAAACACTGTAGTGCAATTATGTCTCTTTTCATATTTGTCCTTTGGGAGGTGTTATGCTTCTTTTATTTTTGTTCCATGATAAATTCAGAAACTCTTTGTGTGTGTGGTCTTTTTGAGACAGGGTCTCCCTGTAGCCCCAGGTATGGCATGGAAGTTGTTATGTAGACCAGGCTGGACTTGAACTTCACTGGTCGCCACGTGGTTTGAGGTATGAACAGCAAAAACCTCAGTAGGGAACTGGGTCTTTTCTAAAGACTCAAATCATGAACAACCCAACACAGGCATACGAAGGTGCTAGAGCACTTGGTGCCTTGTGAATTAAGCTATGAACATCTGGGTCCTGGGAGTGATGGTAATGTCCTGAAACACACTCAAGAGGCAGGTGGTCCTGAGGAGCAAAGCCCTGCACACTTTGGTAGTGTGGAAATAAATTATCATTAATTATTAGAAAATACATTTGTGAGACATGGACTCAGACATCCATAAATTAAAATGCAAAATTAAGAACACTTTCCCCTTTTTAATATTAATTTAAAAATGTTTTATTATTTTTATTTTCTGTGTTGAGTATATTGCTTGTATGTATGTAAATATACCCATGTCAATGCACAGAGTGTGTCACAACCTCATGTCCATAGTTACAGATGGCTGTTAGCTCCAATATGGGTGCTGGGAATTGAGCCTGGGTCCTCTGCAAAACCTGTCATTGCTCTTAACCTCTGAGCCATCTACCAGCCCCTTAAGACCAATTTATGATAAAGAAGAACTCTATGTATTTAGGAGGTGCAATGTGGAATTTTGTTCTCTACATACATTTTTGAAATTCACTATTTAACACAAATACAATTTCATGAATTTTCATATTAAAATGTGTATTCTGGAAGAAATGTCACTGCCTATAAGCCTAATTATAATAAATTGACTGCTCCTTAAATATTGTCCCTGAAATTTCAAGAACGGGAGAGTCTTAATTTCAACCAAAGCTCTCCCAATTCATCAGAAGAGACACATTTTATGTTTCAAATAAATCCAGGATAAACCAGAGTTTACAAAAAATGTTCGTATTCTACTTTCTTTGAAATTCAAATATACAACCTAAATGTCCCTCAAAATATGAATGGATCATATCAATTTGGTACATTTATACAGTGGGGCTTTACTCAGTGGTGAAGGAAAAGGAAATCAAGGAATTTGCAGGTAAGTGCACGGAACTAGAAATGGCTGTACTAGGTGAGGTAAAACAGATGCCAAAAAGCTAGGCACAGATGTTCTCTCTGAAGTATGGATTCTACACCAAATCTTGCATACATACTCAAAAGAAATGAATTCAATATGGCATAGAGATGTATGCACTCCCTTATTATGGCAGCATGGTTTGAAGAATAGGAAATCTACTTAAATGCCCATTAACAAATGGAAGATTTACTGAAATGTAATATTTCTAAACAATACACGACAATTCCATCATAGGAAAGAGTGGAATCTTCTCATACTTGAAAACTGGATTGATCTGGTGGACACTGTATCAGGTAAAGGAAGTTGAGACACAACCACTATATGATCTCAGCCATAAGAAAATGCAAAAAGAAAAGATGATAGATGTTGAAGGTACAATAGCAGTATACAGGGAATGGGAAGAATGATGCAAATAACAGAAACAGTGTCATGGCTTCATGGATTAAGTTCTAGTGTTCTGTGCCACACAAGATGAAGAAAAGTCACCAACTTGAATTTTATATCTTCAAATTATTAGAAA